AACGACACGTTCCAAAAGTTGGGATGGGGGCATGTTTACCACTGTATCATCTCTTCTTTAAACAACAATCTTGTTACGGGATGGCAGGGAGGCGGACCCAAGTGCAGAAATGGAAACAGAGAGAAAAATGGATAAATGAGTTTATTGGGGCACTGGGTTGTGAGTTTGAAACATGTGGATGAGGTGACCCAAAGCCAGGTTCGAACCGGCAATGTACTGATCAGCGCTCCGTGGTGTTACCACTGTGCCAAAGCACCACTGATGAGGACAGTTGACTGCTGGCAAAACACCTTAAAGAAGGGAAAAAAAGAAAAGGCGGGAAAATGACGAACGGCAGACAAAAGAGACGCTGAGAGCAGTGTGCTCAAACGAAGGCTGAACTAGAAAGGTGAAACGACAGATAACAGAAAAAACTCTTCCACTCCAAGAACGAAGGGAAGGCAGACTTTGTTTCAGTTGTCTCTTCTATTTTCTCTGAGCCGATTGTAGCTCAAGATCTTTATTTTTTTTTTCCCTTTAAGTAGCTTTGGGACAGTTTCTTTTCTCAGCCCTCTTTTCTTTTCAGTTTTTGGACAATTTCTTTTCTCTGCCCTCTTTTCTATTTTTTTTTTTTGGGGGGGGCAGTTTCTTTTCTTTTCTCTTCTTTTCTTTTCTGTTCTTTTCTTTTCTTTTCTTTTCTGACACTAAGTACCTCTACAAAGGTGTGACAAATACTACTGTTTGCCTTGACCTTACGTAGAGGAGTCCGCAGGTGTGTCGCGTTGGGCCTAATCAGCCCGCGGACTTCTGGGAATTGGAGTTCCCTGAAGTTATGGCCCTGTGCCACCGCCGCCCTCTGCTGGCAGCTGGCGGCGCAGGCTGGACACCCGGCCACCGTCGCCCTCTGCTGGCAGCAGACGGCCCAGGCTGGACACCCTGCCACCGTCGCCCTCTGCTGGCAGCAGGGGGGGGCGGCTGAACCCTTACAACTCTGTAAGCATCTGGGGACTGAGGAAGTCAACTCCTTCTCACATTATAACATGATGCTTAATCAGAAAACATTCGTCACTCAGAATCACCCATCATGAAGTCAGAGATTAGAGCTTATTAATGTAAAATGAAATCAATGTGTTAGCTGTCCTCTAGCTCTTATAACTGAACAGTTTTTTGAATAATTTTCAGATGTTGGACTGTTCACCAATCAGCAGTGGTCTTGATGTGTAAAATTCAAGCAACACTATTAGGGCCACCATACCACTACCATGACAAATACTTCCAGGATAGCATACCTTCTTTGTGAAAAAAGCATCCTCCATTGATCTGCAAAATAATTTTGTCACACTTAAAGTAGATGATCTACAGATATGTTAATTATTAACAAGTATTCAACAAACAAACAAAAAAAACAAACAAAAAAACTCACTTTGAGGTTGTGAGCAGTAGAGTGGAGACGCTGATATCCTCTTACAGCACAGCTATAACTGCCTGCATCCTCACTGCTGAGTGTCTGCAGGTGGAGCTGGTTGTTCTTGATGGTCTTTGTGGTTAAAGGATGTCCATTTTTGTACCAGATGAATGTTGGGTCAGTCAGACTGCAGGTGGTTTTACATGTCAGATCTGCTGTTTCTCCCTCTGTCACTTCTTCAGGAGTTTCCACATGGAGCTCTAAGACAGTATCAGGACGATCAGATCCAAGAAATGTTGTGAAGAAAGTAAATTTTATTTTTCAAAGTCTCATATAAACCACCACAGATTTGGTCATTATTTTTCCTATATGACAAAACCAATACTACTCACATATACATATCATTTATTATAAAGCACCTGCTAACTCATGCAGGCATTTTGATAGTGGTCCAATTAAACAAAAATAATTATGCAGCAGCCACATGAGCTATAGGGGCATTTTGGGGTCAAGCAGGAGTTACACTGCTCCCTCTACAGTTTGAAGCTTAAAAATCTGTATATTGTTAAAATGTCTACATGATTAAACAGAACAATATTAAATTATTGAAAAGAACACAGTCTGAAATGAAGAAAATGTGTTCTTTTTTCAGATGGGTATGATGGTGTGATTTTGTAGTGTGTTCTGGCTAGGATAATACTGTAGTGGAGGGGAGCCTTCAGGGACTTTTAGGCCCTTAGAGAGGGCCCAATGACCTTTGGGAACTAAACAAATGCATGTCTGCCTTTTTCAGGGTCCAACCACATAGAATCCTGTTTGAATTGTTTAAAGTGTTATTATTATTATTCTGATTCTAGCCTTAAACAATCGACCAAACTGTAAGTCGTGGGGACATGAAACTTGGTCAGCAGGTAGTAGTTCTTCCTGCTGCTCAAGTGCATGACATGAGCTCAGTTAGCCTAAAGGAGGGGGCTCTTGTGCAGGCAAACCCCTTTGACCTTGGAACTTCTAAACCAGAATTAACCAGACTAAATTATAATTGTTTCCTAAGTCTTTGGTTTAGGACAAACTAATTTGCAATTTGGATCATTTACCTATGTCTACTTAGATTTTTTGCTAATTTGCGTAATATGCATAACATATTATTTTCACAATAATTATCAAAAGTATGTTGATTTTTAAGCACTATGGCCATCATATGCTAATTAACCCTTCTGAAATAATATTATTAAATAATTACATAATCTTTTAATACATATATATATATATATATATATATATATATATATATATATATATATATATATATAACTAGAGAATGCTTTCTTCAACAAATATGAACATTTAAATATTTCTTTAATAACACTTTAAGGTTTTTTAACATACTTTTGGTACACTGGACTCTGGAGCACTGAATCACACTTCACTATCTGACAGTCTGATGGATGATTCTGGGTTTTGTGAATGCCAATAGAACATTGCCTGCCTGACTGCATTATGTCAACTGTAAAGGTTGGTGGAGGTGGGATGATGATATGGGGCTGTTTTTCAGGGGTTGGCCTAAAACCCTTAGTTCCAGTGAAGGGAAATCTTAATGCTTCAGCAAACCAAGACATTTTAGACAACTGTACGCTTCCAAATTTGTGGGAACAGTTTAGGGAAGAATCTTTTCTGTTCCAGCATGACTGAAGCCCAGTGCACAAAGAAGCTCCATAAAGTCATGGCTGGGTGAGTTTGGTGTGGAAGAACTTGACAGGCCCTCACGGAGCCCTGATATCAAACCCATTAAAAACCGTTGGGACTAACTAGAACAGAGATTGTGAGCCAGACCCTCTCGTCCAACATCAGTCTGACCTCACAAATGCTCTTCTGGATGAATGGGCTAAAATTCCCACAGACACTCTCCAACATCTTGTAGAAAGCTTAATTCTATAACCTCAGTACAGCTCCACCAATGTCCACTGAAGTATACTGTGTGTATAAAGATTGAGATTTTAAGGGATTAAAGTTTTTTGTGATTTTAAAGTTGTGTGGTTTTCTGTGGAAATCTGTTCCAGCATGCAGGACCACCCAGTTTCAGTTCTTATCTTGCTACTGCATATCATGGGCAGTCGTTCCTTCCCCTGTTTCATTTGAATGGTGATGACTCAATAATGCAAACATACAGTGTTTCTATTACTAAACATTACTCTTACTGAATATTTTTGATGTTCATTCATAAAATAGGTTCTACTAAAGTTTTGGGAGAAAGTAATTTTATCAGTTCTAAAACCAGATCTCTGACACTCAGTGTTGTTGTGAAATATGAGGTTAGGATCATTTCAGATGTTGCCTGGCTGTAAATGATCTCATGCCTGTGGTATTCCTGTTCCTTAGAAACAGAGCACTGAAACATGAAGAAACCACTTCACATTCAGCAAATGAAGTTATACTTTATTTATTCCCATTGAAAACAAAAAACAAAAAACAGTAAACACAAATAATAATAATAATAATAATAATAATAATAATAATAATAATAATTGTTATCATTATTATTGTTGTTGTTGTTGTTTTTATTGTTTTTGTTGTTGTTGTTACATTACTTGTTGTCCCATTCAAAAGTCTGGATAAAGACTGTTTTGCTATTTTCAATCACTCCAGTGACTTTCTCTGTTTGCAGCTTGTTAACTGTTTTATTTATTTATTTATTTATTTATTTGTGGTTCATTCATTTATTTGTTGTTCATTCATTTATTTGTTTGTTTGTTTGTTTGTTGGTATGTTTGTTTGTTTATGTCTTAGTGTACATTTAGAAATGGTGATCCCTACAGTAACATTGTTTTACTCTCATTGAGCACATTGGGAAAGGCATGCATCACTTTTATTCACTTGTCCACTTGATAAGACTTTAACTGTGCATATACTCTGTAGAAAAACATCACTTGTTCTAACTTTACATTTACTGTCTATAATACATGTGTAGTTACACATTAACATCACATTTAAGACTGTAGCTACTAGTGGTGTATTCAGCATTGCAGATGGATTGCAGATGGATTACACTAGTATAGATTTTGTAAATACACAAGTGTATCTTGATAGGTGTAACAGCATATTTATAGGGTGAGGGTAATTACTTTTGACTTTGACTGTATCAGGAAATGTATAATTACCTACATTATGAGAGCTGTTACAACCTGGTCAAGGTCAGGCCATAACAATATGAACAGAGTGATTATTAAATGTGATGTGGGTGAGGAGACGAAACACCAGATGTAACTATTAAGTTCTGTATTATGCGACTGATATGAGTACAAACAGTGGATTCTCACACTGGCAACAATGTCAGGAATGGCCCAGGCCAAAATAACAAACAAACCCACACTAACTTTGACATAATCTACCTACCCTACATACAAACAAATGAAATAAAAGACAGTACACTAACCTACCTCCCTGACTAACCATACACACAGACAAACCCATTCGCAAACAAAATGGCAGCCACTCCCTACAGCCGGTTCACACTGACTATTTACAAATATATATATTTAGGGGTTATTAGGGGACAGGCTAAATCAAAGTCAAAAACAAGCAGGGTCAGTAACAAGCAAAACAGGCAAGGAATCAAGGGTTACAAAATGTACACAAAAGACAACAGCAATACAGTGAGGAAGCCTCCTCCTGACCAAGCAATCAGGGCCTCTTTAAGCAAGTGCGAGAAGATGAAACCATGGAATGGATCACAGCAGGGTCTGGGAGCAGAAAGGGTGAAGTTACAGGATGGAATCTGGGATGAATACAAAAACACACAAGACCAGGCAAAAACACAAGGCATAGCAGAGCACTTAAACTACATTTGCACAGGAAACACCAACTTTCCTCTCATTTATCTAGCTGTAGTAGTACAATTGTGTTGTGGCATGACAGCCAAATTTTAAACTATCCTGTAATTTGATGGCATTTACACAAGAGCACATATCTTTTAAAGTTGCTTTTATGCTATTGATTAGGAAATGTGTCATACTTTATGATCTCTCTAGCAAAGTTTGAATTATCAATCAGTAATTTCACTGAACTTGCATAACAATCACATCAACAGTCGTCACATTGTTGTTCCTTCTGTTGTTAATGTGTAACAACATAGTTATTACAAACATTCAATATAAATTGTGCTTTAATTTATGTTGAAGTTTTATTTTAGTTTATGATTTTTGTTACATATTGCTAACGCCAGCACAAAGGCAAAATGTGATCCTGATATTACAGTTAAAGCAGCTATACAGTTATATTCCAAATCTGACATTATGCTACTTTGTATATATATATATATATATATATATATATATATATATATATATATATATATATATATATTACGCTCCACAACAGTAAGGGAAGCCTAGTATGAAAAAAGAAAAAAAAAAACAAATATATATATATATATATATATATATATATATATATATATATATATATATATATCATGTTGCCACAGTCTTGTAAATCTAGCATGTAACTTTATGTTTACATTAATATCAACTAATTTTTACAAGTGCTGTAGGGGTGGATGCCATTTACTTTTGATCTCCTTTTCTTCTGTTTTTACTACCTAGGGAGTCAGTGAAGTAGTTTGTATTTTGTTTTTCTTTTGTTTTGTTTGAAGGAAGGAAGCTTCATGGGTTAGAGTTTCTGTTTGTCATTTTGGCCTTAACCCTCTCTCATGCAATATCTCCTGGTCTAGTGACTCTGTGGTTAATATATGTCCCTGTAAACTTTGAATAAAATGCAACTTTTCTGCCAAGAGAAAAAGAAAAGATAACTTTTTAGTTTTAATCTGATTTTGTTGTGCTGCTTTTTTTTTCTTTTCTTTCTGTAATCTCTTAAACCCTAGACTCTAGAATGGGTTATTTTCTCCCCATGGCAGGAGGTTGTAACAAATGATGTACTGCTGTTGGATTATTGTTATTTTCCTGATAGCCATGAGACAGATCACTACAGCTATCTTGACCCATATTTGTTGGTGTGTGAGGTGGTGCTGTAAAGTGTTAAAGCAGTTCTCGTGAGAGGGCTCGTACCCACTCCTCCAACATTACATAGTGCCATAGCAGGCATTCCAGGCCCAGAGTGGCAATGACAGTGATGCCATCCTCCCTACTATAAGTCAGTGTACCATCAAAATGTTTTTGAATCTGTTATTTTAAAATAAAATCTTTACAATTGTCATATAATGTCACTTTAATCATTCACTAAATTAAATAGTGACACTATTTGTGAGTTATCTAACACCAATTTTTCTCACCTAGCACACCTGATTTGACTCCTTATCTAATTAACAACCTCCTGGTTGGCTGTGTGAGGTGTGTTACAGTAGGGGAAACACAAACATGTGCAGAGAATGTGGTCTCCAGGACTGGAATTGGGAATACCACAATATATGGGTGAATACTATAGTATCATCTTTACTCCTGGCAGTTTCATAACCGCTAATACATTCACACCTCTCAGGAGAAACATCTTCAGGGTTAAGTTACACATCCAGTCACCTTCACTTACTACTATTAGTCAATTCATTGACCTTGATGACTAAAAATAAACTTCACAGACACCTGTGTATTGTTTCATAGCATTTATTATTTATTATTTATTTGTTATAGAAACATACAGAAATGTAGAACTTTGGCCTTAAACAGCTTCATAAGACTTGATGTTGTACCATATTATAAATAAGCCTTTAGGATTATGTACATCATACATTTTCAAAACTGAGGTGCCAGAATGGGTTCGTTGGACCATGAAAGAAACACTTTTGGCTTTGGTTCTTCTTTGGCATCGTTCCAAAGAGACCCTCTTTTTAGAGTGGAAACAAAAGGTGATCAGTGGTTTGACATACAAGTATGTTCACATTAGGGGATTAAAAACGCAACTTTATGTGTAAAAAAGTATAAATAATACAAATAAGAAAGAAACATTAAAAAAGATCAAGAGTGTGCATTTAAAAAAAAAAAATGTTTTGAGCTTAAAAATAATAATTTCTCTCTCGCTTGTCTGTCTCTCTGTCTCTCTGTCTCTCAGCTGCGGTTGTCCATTGGCTTATTGGTGCAGTTTTGGTGTTGTCAATATTTATGGTGCCAGTCTCATTGTTGCTTCATCAAAGTCTATAGAAAACAGTCACACAGGTAGATGTGTTAGTGCATATTACAGACATTTTAACTTAAGAACCTGTGTGTGTGTGTGTGTGTGTGTATGTTGTATTGTATGTGAGTTTGTATATAATGTGTATGTAGGATGTATTAGTGTGTAAACACTTTGCATTAGCATGCATGTAGGTGTGCATTATTGTATTTTACCAGTAATCTGTAATTAAATTGTAGCAACATTGTAATTACTATGTAACTACATGTCACTTACTGTAAGGACCCGGTGTGAGACCTGTGTTTTTACCTGCTATCTAGTGTCTCCAGACAAATTGTGAATGGATTATAAAAGTACAATAAGACCTCAACCCTTTCACATCCCTGGCTTATTACATACAAAGGCTTATCAGTCAGTAATTACAGGGAAACTGGTTGAGCTATTCTTGGGTTATTGAAATGGGTAATAAAAGTTTAGGGGTTTAAGGGTTAATGTCTGGAACTTACAGCATCAGTCGCCTTCTCAGGAACACTGGATGTGTCATCACCAGGAGGAGGTGTGTTACGGCCTGTTTGATTCACATTCTGCAGAACAGAAGATTAGAGAATGTGAGCAGATAAACTGATGAACATCAAACAACTTTACTGTACATTTTGATGTGAACTACCACATTCCACACACTTTCAGATTTAAACAAGATTAAAGGATCCTGATATCTAGAGCTCACCGCATAGTTTTGCTGGCCCGTAGTTCCATCCTGCCTCTTTTTCCTGCTCTCAGAAAAGTCAGTAAAAGAATCAATAAACATTAACATTTATGATACAAATATGAACATTTAGCCTTGGTATATAAACTTTATGAAAAATAGTAGAACATTAGCATGTCAAATGCTTGTTACTGGAAAGTACAATTAAATACATTTCACATAGTAATTAAACTTATTTTTCTTCAGGCTTTCTTTCATTAATATTCTTACCTCCTCCACAAAACTACAGCGAGAAGAACTGCAATAATAAAAAGTCCAATTGCAACAGCTACATATGGAATCATGGAGTGATCTGTTGAGAGATATATGCACAGGAAACATGCAAAGCACTGAGTTGTAAGGCTAATTTAATCTGAAGCATGTACTAAATAAATGAATGAATGAATGAATGAATGAAGCAACAAATGAATGAATAAACAACATAATATAATCGAGAAAAGAGAAAATACTTCAAACTACATCTTCTGATTTTGTCACTCACCTTTTAAAGAGACATGCACTCCAACTGAGCTATGAGCTCCATGGTCATTCTGAGCTTTACAGTAATACAGTCCAGTGTCTTCAGAAGAGACATAGATGATGTTGTAATTTTGTCCAGATCCTACAGGTGAGGTTCCACCTTCTTTAAACCAGGTGTAGATCTTTACAGGTGGGTTTGCATCACTGCTGCAGGTCAGAGTCACTGAACTGCCCACTGCTATTTCACCAGAGGGACTGATGGACACTGAGACGTTCTTTGGAGGATCTACAAGAGACATATATTTAGGTTTTTTTTGTTTTGTTTTGTTTTTTTTTGGTAATTTCCAGTTTACCTCATTATTGTCAGACAATCACAAGAAGCTTACACAAAACATTTAAATGCACAGCAGTGGATCTTCTCTCTCCATATTTATTATGACTCTGGCATGTGTATTCTCCACTGTCCTCAGATCTGATGTTGGGAATGCTGTAGGTTTCTCCTTCTCCTACTGACGCTGATCCATTAAACCAGGTGTAGATCTTCACAGGTGGGTTTGCATCACTGCTGCAGGTCAGAGTCACTGAACTGCCCTCCACTATTTCACCAGAGGGACTGATGGACAGTGAGACATTCTTTGGAGGATCTATAACAGACAAGAATAAAAGTAAATTAGCTTTGAAAACATGGAGTTCCAGGAAATCATCCAATGCAGCATAAAAAATAATCATTAACTTACACATAACAGTTATTCCCACAGCAGTTGATCTTCCCTTTCCATGATCATTACGACTCTGGCATGTGTATTCTCCACTGTCCTCAGATCTGATGTTGGGAATGCTGTAGGTTTTTCCTTCTCCTACTGATGTTGATCCTTTAAACCATGTGTAGATCTTCACAGGTGGGTTTGCATCACCGCTGCAGTTCAGAGTCACTGAACTGCCCTCCACTATTTCACCAGAGGGACTGATGGATACTGAGACACTCTTTGGAGGATCTATAACAGACAAGAATAAAAGTAAATTAGCTTTGAAAACATGGAGTTCCAGGAAATCATCCAATGCAGCATAAAAAAATAATCATTAACTTACACATAACAGTTATTCCCACCGCAGTTGATCTTCCCTTTCCATGATCATTACGACTCTGGCATGTGTATTCTCCACTGTGCTCAGATCTGATGTTGGGAATGCTGTAGGTTTTTCCTTCTCCTACTGATGTTGATCCTTTAAACCATGTGTAGATCTTCACAGGTGGGTTTGCATCACCGCTGCAGTTCAGAGTCACTGAACTTCCCTCCACTATTTCACCAGATGGACTGACAGACACTGAGACACTCTTTGGAGGATCTAAAAGCAACCAAAAAAAAAGAAAATATATGATATATATATATATATATAATATATATATATATATTACACTCCACAACAGTAAGGGAAGCCTAGTATGAAAAAAGAAAATAAAAAAACATATATATATATATATATATATATATATATATATATATATATATATATATATATATATATATATATATCATGTTGCCACTGTCTTGTAAATCTAGCATGTAACTTTATGTTTACATTAATATCAACTAATTTTTACAAGTGCTGTAGGAGTGGATGCCATTTACTTTTGATCTCCTTTTCTTCTGTTTTTACTACCTAGGGAGTCAGTGAAGTAGTTTGTATTTTGTTTTTCTTTTGTTTTGTTTGAAGGAAGGAAGCTTCATGGGTTAGAGTTTCTGTTTGTCATTTTGGCCTTAACCCTCTCTCATGCAATATCTCCTGGTCTAGTGACTCTGTGGTTAATATATGTCCCTGTAAACTTTGAATAAAATGCAACTTTTCTGCCAAGAGAAAAAGAAAAGATAACTTTTTAGTTTTAATCTGATTTTGTTGTGCTGCTTTTTTTTTCTTTTCTTTCTGTAATCTCTTAAACCCTAGACTCTAGAATGGGTTATTTTCTCCCCATGGCAGGAGGTTGTAACAAATGATGTACTGCTGTTGGATTATTGTTATTTTCCTGATAGCCATGAGACAGATCACTACAGCTATCTTGACCCATATTTGTTGGTGTGTGAGGTGGTGCTGTAAAGTGTTAAAGCAGTTCTCGTGAGAGGGCTCGTACCCACTCCTCCAACATTACATAGTGCCATAGCAGGCATTCCAGGCCCAGAGTGGCAATGACAGTGATGCCATCCTCCCTACTATAAGTCAGTGTACCATCAAAATGTTTTTGAATCTGTTATTTTAAAATAAAATCTTTACAATTGTCATATAATGTCACTTTAATCATTCACTAAATTAAATAGTGACACTATATATATATATATATATATATATATATATATATATATATATATATACATACATATATATATATATATATATATATATATATATATATTTGTGTCTATGCTGCTAGAGCCCCAGGCCAAATGTGTAAGGCTCCTCTACTGATCACAGACAGCTGGGACAGATTTAGGGAGGAGCCAGGACACTTTAAAAACGGAGGATCTCCAAACAATTGAAAGAGAGGATCTTGAGAAGAGAATGCTGGAGAGCACTCTGTTTGGACTTGAGTTGTGAGTAGCCATTGCAGGCTGCATTTTTAGTTTAATATTTGGTTTTGATTTCAATTATTTTATATATAAAAGCACAGCTTTGCATCCATATGTGTTCTTTGGGGTTCCCCTGAGCTTCCCAGCCAGTGTCACTTGGCCCATCCCAAGGCCAATGCCACTATATAAACATATTATTAGAAATAAAGTTCCTGTAGAAGTAAATTTTTCGTTCTTCAAAGTACAAAAAAATGTAAATGTACCCTCAAAGGAACAACAGTGGTTTTAAGATAATGTGCACCTTAAATAAGTTTTTCTAGGTGAAAACTACTTATTTGTACCTTTTCATAGCCTAATGTTTTAAAACAGAGCAATAAAATAAAAAGCCTGGTGATGAGATGGGGTGTGTGGAGTCAATACAACTTGGAAAATATGATTTCAATGGATTCTGGTACATGCATGTTCCCTGATTAAAGGTACTGAGATGCACCCTTGAGGGTACCACCCCAGTTAAAAGAGGGGTACTGCCCCAGTGACCGATTCATATCTTACTACTTAGTACTTACTTAGTACTTATTACTACTTAGATTTCTGCATTTTCCTCGTATCATCTAGCACAGTTTAAAACAATCACAAAAAGCTTACACAGAACATTTAACTGCACAGTAGTGGAGTTTCTCTCTCCATGTTCATTACGACTCTGGCATGTGTATTCTCCACTGTCCTCAGATCTGATGTTGGGAATGCTGTAGGTTTTTCCTTCTCCTACTGATGTTGATCCCTTCAACCAGGTGTAGATTTTCACAGGTGGGTTTGCATCACTGCTGCAGGTCAGAGTCACTGAACTGCCCTCCACTATTTCACCAGAGGGACTGATGGACACTGAGACATTCTTTGGAGGATCTACAACAGACAAGAATTAAATTAGCTTTCTTTGAGAATCTGGAGACAGATATGAATTTGTTCAAATTACTTTGACATGATGCTACCAAGACATATGTTATCTTTTTGTCCTGCTAATATCACTGTATTTACATTATGTAGAGCAGTGAACTGTATGATCTACACTCACATCTGACTCTGAGGTTGTGAGCAGTAGAGTTGAGATGTTGATATCCTCTTACAGCACAGCTATAACTGCCTGCATCCTCACTGCTGACTGTCTGCAGGTGGAGCTGGTTGTTCTTGATAGTCTTTGTGGTTAAAGGACGTCCATTTTTGTACCAGATGAATGTTGGGTCAGTCAGACTGCAGGTGGTTTTACATGTCAGATCTGCTGTTTCTCCCTCTGTCACTTCTTCAGGAGTTTCTACATGGAGTTCTAAGACAATAATACAACCATCAGATTAGGACAGAAAAGCCATAAAGTCAATGACCCTAATTTTTAAGTTAGAATTTAGTGTAGAAAGAAGTTCAGATTTAACCACCCTAAAAGATGTCCGATCTACTCTCTTTCTCATTCAGGAAACTGTTATACACTGACAAAATTAGTACTGATTTGAGCGCAACTGATAAATCTGCTTCAGTGCATGGAAACAATTGCAAAGTTATTAGTACTATATTTTTATTGCAGAAACTATTTATATTATTGACAATAACATTGATTTATTTTCATGAAAAATCAGGATGTTAAGATATTATATTCAAATGTATATATGTTTCTACCAGATGTGCATTTGAACATATGCAAATTTGATGAATAACAGCCAATGAGAGAACCATCAAAAGAGGGACAAAAGAGGGCCCCTTTTTCCTTTTAATAATTTAAAACCTTAAAGCTTTTGATTTGCAATATATGCTCATGATGAACAGAGCAATAGCAATAGATTTTGTCTTCTCCTGTAAAGTTACCATTCTAAAAATATGAGGTTTTGTTCCAGCAAAGATGATATGTGTTTTATTCATAATAGTTCCTGAATAATTAGTTAATACTTAAATGATTTTCATGAATTGACAGCAATAGGATAAAAAAAATGAGCTGATA